AGCACATAAAACACTAGGGGAACTCGTGCATGCATGGACTTGGTCCGGTAGGGCCGATAAGGCATGCACGGACATTAGGGTCACCGAACTAACTACTCAATCTTGCTTAAATGACTAAGGCCGAGTATAATACATCAAAAATCATGACTTTAAGTCTTGGCACAATGGCTATAACTCGCATGTACAAAACTTTGGCTCGGGGTGCAAAAATGGGCTAAATATCGACGTCTAGATGGCCGAGCACCCTTACTTATTTTAAAAAACTGTTTTAACCTCATATTACTCTTGATTTATAAGGATTTTTAAGCTAGCAAACTCGGCCTAAACATGCATGCAACGAAATACCCGATTTTAAGGCTTTAAACTTCAAAAAACCGAAACTCTCTTTCTACCCGAGCAAATCAAGATTTCTATACATGATAAATCTTAAAATATCATTTATTAACTAGGATAAAAAGATAGCATGAGCTAACCCTCACCGAAAAGGGAAAATGGCTGCTAGGGCTATGCTCGGGTCTTGCTCGGCAAAAGGAGATGCTATGGAGAACCCATGGTGGAATGGTTGAAAGGAGGAGTCTCTGGGATTGCACTAAGATCTTTGATGGATTAAGGCTTGGAGAAAAGTGGCTAGAACAAACCGGAGCTTGGTGCCTTCCTTACTCGGGGCTCGCGCGCATACACAAGGCTCTCGACCTTTCTCTCCTTGCTCTCTCTATTTTGCTGATTTCGGGTGAAATTCTTGAGTGCCCAAGAGTATTTACTTGCTGAAGAATGAGTTTAAATGGAGTCTTGGGTGGATTTCACTAGGTAGCTCATGGGAGACACATTTTAAGTGCTCTTTTCCCACTTCATGTGCACCTAGGGACTTGGGGCTGCATTGGGGATGACTTGGGTGGACTTTGAGGAGGTTTTTAGAGCATCTTGGAAGAGGACAAAGGCTCAGGTCGGACACAAGGTGAGTGGGAAACATAAACTTACACATTGAATATAATATTCATATGCACATACATCCACTTAGGCTTAGGACTAATTGACTTTGACTTGGACTTTTCCTTGGGCCATTTGGGCTCAAAAGACTCCTCACTTATCTGGCTTCATCCTCACAAATTTGGACTCAGTGAAAGTGGGCTGGATTTTTCCGAATTGGGCGCGGAAGGTGGGATGGCACTGCTGGGCGCGCTGTCTGGGCGTTGCTGGGCTGTGATGAGAACACGGCAAGAAGGCTGAAGAATGCGGCGAGCCGCGCTTATCATGCACGGTGGAGGTTAAGCCGCCGGGCTGTCGAGGCCCAGCTCGTTAGCGGGCATGCGCGCGCGAGCGGTGATGCGCGCGAGAATTTCGACCAAGGACGCGATGGCGCGAGTACGGCCGAAGGGATTTATGCACGAGCAT